TGCAGTATTAAAAAAAAATTATTATGAAGATATTCAACTACCTTCAACATATGTGATTATAACCTAATATATGACAAGAAAAACAACAATTTTCTTAAACTTTTCTTGAATGCTATTAAGATTACTAAAAAATATTATATTCTATGAATCACCATAAGTCATAAGATGGTAAATTTTCTCCAAATTTTTTTTTATGTTAAGATAGCCTGTGGGAAAAATTTGCGAAAAAATATGCGATGGTTTTTCTTAAACAAATAATGTATCTTATCGTGCATGTAAAAAAAAAAAAAATTATTTAGAATAATATGTCATTAGATAAAAGAAATATAACATGATATAACCCCCAAAATAGCATAATAAAATAGCTTGTTTTTTAATTAATTAACGAAATGGCTGGATAATGACCATTATATCTCTTATTATTTGTCAAAAGTTCTAATGAGATATTATGATGTGATATTTATTTTTCAGAGTCACTGTCCATTTTGTATAGAGAAACAAGTTTTTCTCTTAATATTTTTTTGTGATATATTATTCATCAACATATACTATTTTTATATACGACATACCATAAAATATTAAACATGTTAGTAATGAAATTATATTTACAGCCGGAATATAGCATACCTTCATTGAAAATGACATTTCATTAAGAGATATCGATAATCAACTTTTTTTATAATTGTGATTACTGAATTTATTTATATAAAGTCAAAATAAAAAGTAATATAACATGATATATACTATATATTTATATGGTATAACATATTGTATAGAGTATTTGTATGATATATCATGATTATTGGTAGACATCATATCATAACATATGATTTATATAATGATAACATGGCATACTATGTAATATATGACATGTTATATGATAAATAACATGTTCTATATTACAAAATATAGTATGCTAATATATAACATGGTATACCATATAGTATATAACATGTTATATTTATATCACATAAACGTATAATATGTATATAACATATAATATTATATCCATCATGTTATAAACAATGTTCAAAACATATTACTGGTAGGTAGCATAACACAACGTCTGAT